ATCAGAGACTGTCAGAGACAAGCTGTGTTTCTGTCTCCTGACTGAGGGGACGTCCCTAAAACATGTTGGACTGTTCCTTTAAACCATCCTGAGACATCTCAACAACTTCACAGGTAACAATAATTCACAGAAACAGGATTTGGCTTTGATGAAATATTAAATCTACAGAGAAGATGAGTCTGATTCAGATACCGATAGACGATCAGGGTGATGTCATTACAGAGCTGATTAACTCAGGGTCTGTCCACAGTATGTTAGATCATAGAGGGAGGAACACACTGACAGGAAGTTAACTGAAGGTGATTGGTCGAACATATATATAGGACACAGTTTGCCCCATCAGGATCAGAGTTTACATCAGACTTCAGATCAGAGTTCAGATCAGACTTAAGATCAGAGGTCTGATCAGACTTAAAGGGAAATTTCGGTTTATTTCAACCTGTCTCCTATCGTCCTAAATTTGTTTCAAGTGACTAGTGACATACAGATAATAGTTACCATGTTAGCCGTTAGCCTAGATACAGCCGTAGCGTCAGACTTGTTAAAACGTAAGTGAACGGGCAACCTTCAAGTGCAAAGTTAGTCCACTAAACAAGCTTTTTTTCCCACAAAGACCGCCTCATATTGTTAGGATAAATGTCAGAGAACATATAGAAAACGACATGTAAACGTGTTGTCTTACCTCTTACCTAGATCAGAGTTCAGATCAGAGTTCAGATCAGAGATCAGATCAGAGGTCAGATCAGAGGTCAGGTCAGTGATGAGCTCACAGCTAGATTTTAACTTCAGTTTAATGTGTTTTAGAAACGTGACGACAGGGCTGATGAATCAGGACACATGTTTATTACACATCAGGTTATAAATAAAAGCAGGACACATCTGAGTGAAGAGTCTCAGGACATTATGTGACAGAACAGCTGACTCTCTCTGAGACATGTCTATAATGTCTCATTATAGACATGTCTATAATGTCTCATTATAGACATGTCTATAATGTCTCATTATAGACATGTCTATAATGTCTCAGAGACATGTCTATAATATGAAACAAATACTGGATCAAACAGAAATCTGATCTGACTATGAGGTGATTTTATTTCTGTTAATTGTGTTTGATGAATTTAGTTTTCTTCCTCTCAGACAGAGACACACAGACAGACAGACACACAGACAGTCTCTCTGACAGACAGACAGACAGACACACAGACACACAGACACACAGACAGACACACACACACACACACACACGCACACACAGACAGACAGACAGACACACACACACACGCACACACACAGACAGACAGACACACAGACACACACAGACAGACACACACACACACACGCACACACACACACAGACAGACACACACACACACACACACACACACACACACACACAGACACACACACACACAGACAGACACACACACACACACACACACACACACAGGTTACAGTAAACACTGGTGTGTCAGGAGGTTTATCATGAGGGATCTGGTCAGACTGGTTCTCTGAGCTCTGAGGATTAAACACCTGAACACACCTTCACCTGCTCAGAGTGCCACTGATTTTACACCTGTCCATCTGTCCTCTGTCGATCCTTATCATGCTGATCTGTTCTGTACGACATCTATTGCACGTCTGTCCGTCCTGGAAGAGGGATCCCTCCTCAGTTGCTCTTCCTGAGGTTTCTACCGTTTTTTTCCCTGTTAAAGGGTTTTTTTGGGGAGTTTTTCCTGATCAGCTGTGAGGGTCATAAGGACAGAGGGATGTCGTATGCTGTAAAGCCCTGTGAGGCAAATTGTGATTTGTGATATTGGGCTTTATAAATAAAATTGATTGATTGATTGATTGATTGCTCTGTCCTCTGTCCACACTGTAGAGACGGAACTGGAGGAACATGAAGGTGTTTATGATGCATCATGGGAAATGTAGTGTCCACACTGTAGAGACAGAACTGGAGGAAGTGTTGCCTTTGATAGGGACTATTTTCAGCAGTGGATGGATCCATGTTTGATGCTGTAGTTCAGGGTGTCCCCGTCCTTTCCCCATCTGTCACTGAGGGACATGTTTGATGGGTTATTTACATTGTGTGTGTGTGTGTGTGTGTGTGTGTGTGAGTGTGTGAGTGTGAGTGTGAGACAGGAATCTGACACGGGGTGTGATCCAGCATTTAAGCAGTAGCTTCACACAGACAGGTGGAGGAGGTCAGGATCATTTAAAGGAGCAGTCCAACATGCTTCACAGAGTCAGAGGGACGTCGGGATTATTTTAGTTTTTATACTTTTGCTTATTAATTTTTACAAAAAGACTAAATCAGACAGAACTGAGGACACTGTGCAGAGACACAGGTCACAGGTGGAATACTGAACAAGTTATCAGGGACAATATGTCCACAATCGTCCTGTCAGATCACAAATGTCCTGATGATCTGTGACTGTGTCTCATGGAGAACCAGAGTAAATCTTCAGTCCTTCATCAGCTGCAGTCTGTCTGTGTGTGTGTGTGTGTGTGTGTGTGTGTATGTGTGTGTGTGTGTGTGTGTGTGTGTGTGTGTGTGTGTGTCCACAGGAAGTGGTTTAACACAGGTGTGTGTGTGTTACCTGTGACGCCGCTGCACGCCGCCTCACACTGCTCCCGGGTATCAAAGTTGTTGCCGTTGGCGTCACAGCCACCATATGTGAAGCTACGGCAGCTCCCATTGGTCACATCGTAGTAAAACTTAGGAAAAGCTGCTCGACAGCGTCCGACCTTCATCGGGAGACGACAGCGGACTGAAGGAGACAATGAGAGACAGAGACAGGAGACATCAACACTCTGATCCTGGACCAGTCATCCAATCAGATGATTTGGGAGGCAAAAAACACCACAGACACACCACAGCCCCGCCTCCACCCAGCGGTCCAGGTTAAGTTCATGGTTTTCATCTCCACAGTGAAAGTTGTGGATGGTATCAACAGAAGTGTTCCTTAGCGTCCCCATGTTTGGTCCCCCCTCTGTTGGGGTACCTAGCACACAGATCTGGTACTAAAAGGTGGAGCTAGAAACCCTGCAGTCTGATTGGTCAGTAGAGGACGCTCACTCTGGTTTTATGTAACCTCTGTTCATACATCAGTAAACTACAACTATAAAATGAAAGAGAAAAAAATAACTTCATTCACTGGGCCGACTGCCGGCAACTTTTAAGGTGGAACGTTAACTTGTAATGTTACTCAATGCATGAGTTGATGACGTGAATCCATCAGCACACCTTAAATTTCACTGTGACAACTTTGACCATCACTTTAGTTTTTATATGACACACACTTTTAGTAATGACTTTAAAAATCTAGATGAATTTGGAGCGGATTATGTGAAGGTCATATATTCTAATCCTCACTTCCTGTGGGCTACAGCAACACTAAACCCCTGAGCTTGCCTGAGAAGGACTAAATGCACAAAGCTGCTATTTTTAAATATCCCATGGAGAGAGACTCTCACTGCAGCCTGTTCTATTTTGTTGTGAAAATGTGGGCGTGCAGCCTCGTTCTGTGGACGATAAACCAGGTGCAGACTTCCATCTGTGTCACCGCTGATGAGGAAATACAGCGAGTGCTGGACGGAGCAGTGAGTGACAACAACCCCGCCCACATTTAAGAGGACTGTCTGAACACACCGAGGGTCTAGGTACCATGTCTGAAGGCTTACTGCTGGTTCCAGAGGGACTGGACTTAAAGGGTTTGGTGGAGACAGGATTGATGGGAGCATCATGACAGCAGGTGACGCTCTGTATGTGGTATAGTGTTGGGATGTAGGTAACGTCATGTTGGACTGTGTGTACTGTGGAATATTCACGCCATTAGTCAGTAGGATGATTGTGTTTTTCCAGGATAAAGGACAAAAGCTGAATATCTGTGCATGTAAACAAAGACTACATAATCAAACCACAATTCCAGAAGACTCTGGACACTGTAATAAAAACAGGAAGTGATGATTTATAAATTCAGCTGAGTAAAGGTCATTTATAAATCATCACTTCCTGTCGTTACAGTTTCACACAGACTGTTTGATTCCGTCTGAACATGATGAAACAATGAAACTATGTTTTTATGATCAGCTGACGGACAAAGGGACGGACGGATGCTCTCTCCAATGGTTCCTGTCCGCTACCCTTTCAGAGTAAAGCTCAGTGTACAGACACAGAGGGGTGTGAGCTGTTGTTGTTCTCTCAGGTGGAACGCTGTGATGTCACAGAGCGGACCGACCGGTTGGACCTGAAACTCTCTGAGAACAGATCACACCGTGATGACTCATGTTCACCTGGACAGGTGAGTTTCAGGTAAAGGAAGTCACTGTGTTCATGATCAGACACTCACAGTGTGTCTGATCTATGTTTCTATGTTTCTTGGACGGGATGTAACTGAAAGGCAATTTCCCCCCCCCCCCGGGGACAATAAAAGTATTCTGATTCTGAACACACACCTCTGCTCAGCCAATCAGGGGGCAGCACTCAGGAGGAGATGAGATTAAAGTCACTGTGACACATCTGACCAGAGACAAGTTCATGTTCTGACAGAGAACGGACTGAAGACCAGGACACATCCAGAGACGCCTTGTTTACATTGTTTACAGTGTTTACCTGACACCTTCTACAAACCACAGATATGATGGAGGTGGTGTGATCTCACCTCACAGAGATGAGTTGTATAAAGACAGAACACATCATATAAAACCTGAGTGTTCCTGATCTGGTAGTCCGGGTTCTGTGTCACAGGACACAGAACGAGGAATAGTTTGGTCCACAGAAGATACTGAACATACTGAATGTCTCCAGATGTGGAACGCAGGACACATCTCACAGCTCAGAGACACTCAGAGTCTCCTCCAGTTTCAGTACCTCACTGCAGCAACACGTCAGAGTGAAAACTTAATATATAAGTTATACATGGTGTGAACAGCAGGAGGACTGAGACCCCATCAGAGCTGAACTGGACCAGACAGAGGACTGAGACCCCATCAGAGCTGAAGTAAACCAGACAGAGGACTGAGACCCCATCAGAGCTGAACTGGACCAGACAGAGGATTGAGATCTTTATCTGTGGGTCCAGTTCCAGAAGACTGAGTTCAGTTTGTTTAAAGAGGACTAAATGTTAAAAACACCCTGAACCAACAGACGATCTGTAACTGTATCAGAGTGTACCAGGATCAGATCGGCAGCAGGAACTAGGGATGCACTGAATATATTCGGTAACCGACAGACACAGACGGTAACCGAATATATTCAGACGAATATTGCAAAAAAAAATAACACACATTCGATATTTGGTGGAATAAGTGAAAAGCAAGGCGGAATAATAGTGGCGTGTTTTGATGATGCAATCAAACAGCGTGCGGTGACGCACGGAGTAAAATGTCGGCAGTGTGCCGATATTTCAAAGTGTTGGCATTTGCGACTAAAAATAGTTTTGTGCGAGCAAAATAAATCATTCAGCACGCTGTGCAAGTACAGATTTCAACCAGCAGCAGAAACGAAAGGCAAATCCTGCCAGTTGTGGGTTGAATGGGGGTCACAGACACAGACAAGAATGTATTCCTGTCAAATACGGTGGCCATAGTGCTCCACGGCGCAAGATAACGGCTTACCGGCGACGGAGAAGTCCGGGTCCAGGTCCAATAATTTCCTCTTCTTGGTGTCATGACTGCCCAAAAGTACCTGGACAGCCGAGCCGTGGCGGCACACAGGTATGTGATGTGTCGGTTCATCTGCAAAAACTAATGAAAAACTAAACAACAGCATTTGGTACTCGGTACTCGGTACTCGGTATTCGGACAAGCATTTAATTTTATTCGGCTTTGGCTTTGGCCACATATTTTCATTTCAGTGCATCCCTAGCAGGAACATGTGGAACACATGAACACCTGTCAGAATAAATCACCTGTACAGTCTCTTACTTGAGATTGTTCACGTTACATGACATCGTTCACATGTTACATGAGAACGTTCACGTTACATTAGAACATTCACATGTTACATGAGAACATTCACACGTTACATGAGAATGTTCACATGTTACATGAGATCGTTCACGCTACATTAGATTGTTCACATCTTACATGAGAACGCACACATGTTACATTAGATCGTTCACATTTTACATGAGAACGTTCACGTTACATGAGAACGTTCACATGTTACATTAGAATGTTCACGTTACATGAGATGATCTAATGTAACGTGAACGTTCTAATGTGAACGATCTGATCGTTCACATGTTACATGAGGACGCTCACATGTTACATTAGATCGTTCTCATTGAGCCTTTACACTCCAACAGCTCTGTGGTTAACGTGTCGTCTTGTTTACACATGTAAACTTCCTGTTACAGTTTAAACTTTAAAGACTCGACAGGAAACTGACTCACTGAAACACGACTGGTTCAGTTTGTTGTTGGTGTTGAACAGTGTCTGATGGTGTCTCTCCACCCTCCACCCTCCTCCACCTGATGAAGTGATGAAGCTCAGACACTTTATCACCAAATGTCACAACCAAACGTATGTGGTTCACAGAAATGTACAACACCAATGTTTGCTTCATCTGATCACTGAGTCATCAGCTGACCCTCCCCACTCCTCCTCCTCCTCCTCCTCCACTTCCTCCTCATACACTGAAATGTTCACCTCCTCTCTCTGCGTCTCGCTGCTCTGACTCAGTTTATTTCACCTTTTTGAGTCCAAAGAAAAAACATGATGAAACCAAAGTGACGTTGTAACATGACAGAAATGTGACTGATGATCAGAGTCAATCAGCTGATAAACAATCGATTAGAAACTATTTTAATCAGTGATTACTGATCGACTCATCTTCAGTCTCTCAGCTGAGACTTTATGTGACATCACAGACATTATTTACATAAACAAACCTGATCTGTGTGTTTGAACAGGTCCTGTGATCCTTCTGATCGATTATTTCTTTATTGATCTCAGAGAACTATAAATAGCGACAGATATCCATCAATACAGGATGATCAATATCTAATCATTTCATATTTTAAATGTTCAACAGTTTCAGCCTTTAAATGATCAGATGAGTCGAAAACTATTACTCATCAATAATCAATACTGAGAGCTGGTGGATGTTTTCTCACTGCTGAAACCAATCACTAATCAATAATCACTAATCAACTGATGAACAGTTGTTGTCTCACCGTTGTTGTTCTGGTTGTTCCTGGGAGTCCGGAGCTCCGGCGGGTCGACTCGCGGCTCCTCCCCGCCCTCCTGGTCTTCACTGTCGGCCTCGTTTTTCACCCTCTTGCGGTAGACCTTGAGTCCGGAGCTGGGGGGGAACACGCAAACGTCCTGGTCCTGGATGGAGCACTTCACCATCCCGCACTGCTGCTCCCGGACCCCGACCAGGGCCAGGTCACAGTCTGGGTCCTCACAGCACGTCTCCAGGCAGTTCTGCCGGTCCACGGCCATCGTTACCGGGGGCACGGTCGAGTCCAGCTCCGGAGCCTGTTCGGGATCAGGGGCCAGGTCCCACTCACAGTCCAGGGACAGACCGGGACATACCAGGAGCAGCAACAGAGACCAGCGGATCATCGTCTTTAATCCAACACACAGTTTTAATGAAGGAAATGTTTCTGAGCTCCGCGCGTACACAGAACTCACTTCCGTGTTTGGAGGCTTTGTGTTGTCGCAGGAAGATTTACCTGAGCGACAGGTGAAGTCACCGCGGACACGCCTGCTCACGTGACGTCACATATACCACCCACTGAAAACATTCAGATTATAAATGTCTCAATTTGTTTGTTTATCTTTTCTTTTTAAATTATTATTTATACATCTAATCTCCACCTGATCAACATGTGGAGTTTGATTTGATGGAAAATCACCCAAAATAAAATAAAATAAAATAAAATAAAATAAAATAAAATAAAAATAATGTGTTTCATGTTTTTATTCATAAACAGAAATTCTCCTGTTTTTCATCTTTCCTCCAAAAATCAAAGATTCTTCTCAAATAGTGAAAAACACTGAATTAAAAAAAAAAATCAATAAATAAATATGAGATCTTGATTTTTTAATTATGAAAGTGGAAACTCAGGATCTTAGAATTGTTGTTAAACACAGGATGTGACGGTGACTGATGTTTGATCACAGTTAATCTGGTTGGACTTCTGTGAGACATTAATAAATACTAATGTTCAATAAACTGAGTCTGAATATCATCATGTCATCACTGTGGAGTGTTCAATGACCCTCTGTTCTGTGGTTTGTTCTGAGGAATGATGAGGAAAGAGAATATCATGGACTCATATTTATTTATTTTTTAAGATAACATGTCACATACATGTCACACACATGTCACACACACGTCACACACATGTCACATACACGTCACACACACATGTCACACACACATGTCACATTCATGTCACACACATGTCACACATGTCACACACATGTCACACACACATGTCACATTCATGTCACACACACATGTCACATACATGTCACACACGTCATTTACATGTCACACATGTCACATACATGTCACACACGTCATTTACATGTCACACATGTCACATACATGTCACACACGTCATTTACATGTCACGTATGTTACATACATGTCACATACATGTTACACACATGTCACACACACATCACATTCATGTCACACACATCACATACATGTCACGCACGTCATTTACATGTCACACCTCACATACATGTCACATACATGTTACACACATCACACACATGTCACACATGTCACACACACGTCACACACATGTCACACACGTCACATACATGTTACACACATCACATACATGTCACATACATGTTACACACATCACACACGTCTCACACACACGTCACACACATGTCACATACATGTCACACTATGAAGTCCTATCCATATCAAAATAAGCAGACACATGAGAGTTGCAGTCCTAAACGCCTCTCTGAGCTTCTAGTTCAGTTACCCAGCCATAGTTTTCATAGTTTTATACAAACGGTGTCTGTCCCCCGACCACCTAAATTATTTAAATCTAAAATTAAACAAAGAGGAGTTGTGCATAACAACCTCATAAAAATTAAAACCTCTTCTGTGACAGAAAGACAAAACAGGAGAATTAAATGCGGACTGTTAAATATCAGGTCTCTATCGTCTAAAGCAGTGTTAGTAAACGAATTAATATCAGATAATCATATTGATTTACTCAGTCTCACTGAAACCTGGCTGTGTCAAGATGAATATGT